CGGGAGGGAGTGGGGGGGGCGAAAAGGCACAGAGACCTCATTGCTGTGCAGGCTTTCAGCAAAAAAAAAAAAAAAAGGCATCGCTCTTGAACAATGCTCACTACGGCATTCGCAGGGAGGTGCAAAAGGGAGGGGACGAGGAGGAAGCAGGGTGGGGGGGCTGTCATATCTTGGGGGGGGTCTTTCGGAAGCATAACCGGCCTTCTGCCTTCTCTGAGCTTTTAGTGCGGGCCGGGACAGAGCGAAGACGCGCTCACTTGGAGGAGGGCAGCACAGCGCAGCAACTGATAAGAGGGGACGCTCCAAATGTGCCGTTGGCCAACTCAACGCACCCGTGCAACGCTTGATGCGGTGTCTGCGCAAGAGACATCTCTGGAGCACACTTTTGTGCAAAGCACCAATGTGCGTCATTTCACGTGCCTCTATCGAACCCCAAAATAATCCTCAGCTGTTGGAATAGGCTTGCAGGACAAGCCATGGCTGGCAGAGAGCTTTCATAGCATCACAGGGATCTCGTTTTTCAAAGGGATCGGTCAGAAAAAGAGGACAAAATCATTTCTATGCCATTACAAATATATTGGGGGGGAGGTATGGCACAGCAAAATGGCTGCAGTTTTTGCAGGCTTCTCCTGACATTTCTGTTTTGGCTTTGGAGCCAAAGCCTCAAGGCTTTGTACTAACACTGCTGACTTTTTTTCAAACTGCTCATAATTGCCCCTCCACCTTGACTCAGGCTCCAGTTCCAGCAGACCCCCACCACACACACACACACACACACACAACAAACCCCAAAACATTCCGTATGCTTTTCGTTTGGTGATAAGCAGCGTTATGTTGGTGGCAAACAGGTTCAAGCTGGGCCCATGACAAAAGCTCCCATGTGCGTTTTTGACTGGGATGTTTTGCTTTGAAGGGTAAGACCACCTTAGCCCTTTGCTTTGACGTTTTGGAGAAGAGATTAGAGCAAACGGTCCGGACCCGCCAGAAATTCCGGCGACCTCTGTAATCTTGGCAAGCTCGTTGACCCCTTTTCTTCTTGTCTTCGGCAAGTCGGGAGGCACATCCAGTTCTTCTCCGACGGTCACCGTCAATGACTTTCTCATCATTGCTGAGAGCAAGCCATGGTTGAGAAGTCATTACTTCTCTGCAGTCACGGTCTCACAGCTCCCAAAAACAACGTTCAGAATTGTGAAGAATGAAGAGAATCTTGTCTCGGGGTACTTTTTAGGTATGATCTGAAAGAAGGAGCCCTTGACTGCAGGGCGCAAAATGGCATCGGCTGTCGGTGCCAACAGCTCACTCTGACTGGCTGTTAAATGGCCAAGCTGCACGTAAGGTCGAAGTCGACTATGAAAGTGCGCAAAAGCAGACCAAAATGGCCCCAGCGCGTAAATTCAGCTCGGCAAACCCCTTTTGTTTTTCAATTTCGACTTGTTCCTGCCTGATTATGATTGCCAGCTAGGCACTGTGTGTGAGTTTTCTTTCATGAAAGCCACCTTGCTGAAGTCCAAGTAAAAATAAAAAGGACGTTGTTCCCAAAAGGGACGGAAGTCAAATTAATGGAGCTCATAAAATATCACCAGAGGCGGGGCGAGTCGACCGAAGACCTTTGGAGCCCACCAACCAGGGCAAAAATCAAGTGGTCAGTGGGGTTATTGTGTGGGTTTAGCAAGTCATCAATCAAGTCACTCCAGGAAAGTCTTGTCGATTTGCTGACTGCAAAGCCTGAACTTGTCCTCGAGTGTTCCATGGTGACTCATGACTCCAAGATAGGAGTCAGCCTCCTGCTCTTTTACAGCATCGGGTGCTTGAACGGCTCCGCGACTGCAGGTGTAGCCACGAGAGGCGCATCTTGGCTGCTCTTAGTGGCATTCAGAGAGGGGGACGTGCGAAATGTGCGTAAAGAGCAGCGAGGGGGGAGGGGCGGGGGGGTTGTACTTGCGCGCAGCCTGCGCGCGCGCCTTCTCCAAGGATGAACAGACGCTCGCATGCATCCTCGTCCCCTTCGACGTGATCCTACTTCGCATCGTCGTCTCCCGGTGGCCTTCCAAGTGAATTTCCTCGCTCCCTTTTCATGTTTTCATGCCGCCTCGTTCCATCCGTGACGCCGTGGATTGTGTTCATCATCAGCAGCAGCAGCTCCGCCGCCCGCCGCCGCCACCGCCGCTGCGTTGGCGCTGCGGAATAGCCGACGAGGCGAACAAGAAGAGGGCAGCTCTCAGCCCGGGAGACAAGCCAATCCATTTTGGCGGAAGGGGTGGAGGGTGAGGGGGGGGGGCGGCGGGGTGGCAAAAGACAGACGGGCGAGCGGTGATGAGGATGTTGAAGGGAAAAACATCGACGTTAGACTCCGCGACGCCGAGGTAAGCGCGCGCCCGTGCAGGTGTGAACCTTCGAAGGGAAAGCATGAAATGAAATGGCCGGCGCCGCGATTTGATTCCGCGATGCGCCCGCTGACATCCGCACAAGATTGTCGGGTGGCAAATTGTGCACAGGCTGCAAGGATGCGTGACGATTGAGACGGAATGAATATTTCCTCGGCGCAAAAGGACACGGGCGCGCAAACCTGACGTTCAATCAAAAGCACATTTCGTTGCCTTTCGAGAAACGGCAGAGGGGCTGGGGGGGGGCGCGGCGGCGGGGGGTTGTGGGTGCAGTTGTCATTAAGCGCGAAAGGGTGCAAGCCATTTTGTAATGCAGCGTGTGCAGAATTCGGCCTTTTCGGAATTTCAATTGCGTTCCAGAGCAAAGTGCGCAGCTGCATGGATGAATAAGGCCATTCTGTTGGCTTGTGGCACAGGTTGAAGGCTGCTCCTCGCTCAGCTCACTAAATCCACTCCAACGAGGATTATTTTTAAAAATGATTGTTATGATTTCAAATGCAACATTTTCTCATCATTTGATGCGGCATTTGTGCCCACCCCGGTCGCCCCATCCGAATCAATCGAGTGTTGTCATAGTTACAGTCGATGATGTTGGCCCCGCTGCACCTGTGCCGCTTTGTCTTCATGCACACCATCATCTCATCGGGCCTTGAATGCGTGGACTCAACAACCCAGCGCCAGATAGACCCTTCTTTTTGACCCCCCCCCCCACCCCACACCGAAAAGAAAACAAAAAAACCCAACTGCCTCTTCATAAACCTTAACGACCGTGTTGTGGAAAAGTCTCGCGGTGCGATCGCCGTGTGATTGCTTTGTAGCAATTGGTCAGCAGCTTGCAGCTAATTTGTCTTTTCACGACTGAGCGCTCTCTCAGGCCCGATCGAATAATCAATAGCGACATTGTTGCAATCCGCTCTCAACACCAAAGAGCAGCAAAGATTAAAAAAAGAAAAACAACAGCAGCACGAACGAGGAAATACACCTTGGAGAATTTCCTTCAGGGGGAGAGGAGGAATAAATTCAATGCAGGCATACAACGATGTCTTGATTCGACCGTCATTCCCCCCCCCCAAAAAAAAAAGAGTCCGTGTAATTTTGTATGAGCCGAAGCGCATCTCATGAGATCTAAGTCGCCTCATATGGCGGAGAGATTGAGGATGGCGTTTCAAGGCAACAGGCTTTCAGTGTCAAGGTCTCTCTCGCTCCCCACACAGTGAAAGGTTTGTTACCTTGTGTGGTCCTTAACATGCCAAGAATGTGTTTTTGCTCCCCCAAGGCTGTGCAAAGAAGCCCCCCCTCCCCCACCCCCCCTCGCCTACCACAGCTGCTTCAAGACCACTTGTGCGTGGATGCTAGTGCAGTCCAGTTAGGAATAAGACAAACACTCATTTTGACCAGTTTACCTTTCATGGATTAAAGGGAGGAGGGGGGACTTTGAACCCTAAAACACACACAAAACTGCTTGCTTGTTTTTCTCATCAATTGGATGACTTTTAACCAAAGTGGAGTGAATTATTTTGAGCCAGCAGATTCAGCTGAAGATGTAAACCCGGTCGCCATTTTCTTTACAGCCAAGCCACTGACGTTGGAGCTTGACTGTAACAATCTTACAAACCTGCACTGTATCCGCCCGCCCCCCCTCCAAAAAAAAAAGGTGGCTGAACTCCAAATTGCGATCAAATTCCAAATTGGGCAATTCAACAAAACATTTGACGTTTTGGCGAACGACAAACTGTCACGGAGAAAACAACTCGCGAGCTTTGTTGCCGTAGTTGTTGGAAAGTCGTTCCAGCTGAAATGTCGGCTTTAGATAAAGAAACAAATAAGTCAATCATACACGTGTTTTGCTTCGTTTTTCCCTCACGCAGTAAACGCTTTCTTGGTCGCTTGAACTCCTCCATGGGTCGTTTTTAGCCCTTGTTGGATCAAAGTCATCAGCCAACATGGCGGTTGGAATCCTCCCCCCAATGCGCTGGCTCGGCTGTAAATACATACGACGTGCGCCTTCTATGAGGCTGAGGGTGACCAAGTCTGTGGCATGTGCAGAAAAGTTTATTTGAAGCAAAACACGCTCCCTCATGAATTTCCTTCATAGCCATGATAACAGTTCTCAGCGATGTCTCCCCAACGATGACCGATGTTGACCTTGTCAGGTATTATGCTCCGGAGCATTCTAAATTGCATTCAATTTGCTCTCTTGTCCCTGCAAACCTCCCACCCAAAGGTGGACATAACGTAGGAAGAAATCCATCGATCACGCCTGACGTTTGAGGGCAGCGGTGCCCGTCGTGCGTTTTGCGCGGCAAACGCTCATCGGAAGAATGTAGAATGGGGCGCCGGACAGTAAAAACACGAAATGGTGAGTGAGCAGGTTGCCACGGCAACCGTGTTTCTAGGAGCCCATGCGTCGTCGTCGTCGTCGTCGCCGCATATAGCAGAAGGAGACGCAGAGCGCCGCCATCGGAGCGTGTGAAAAAGCCTCGTTGGTTCCAGAGTCAAGCGCGTGTCTCGGACGCGGCCGGCTTCTAAGAGGGCAGCCGTGGTGGAGTCGGAAGGTCTCGAAAACGCTTTTCGCTCTTATCGGCCGAGCCGTGCTAAATTTAGTGAGTCTGCTGATGCTTGCGGGCATTTCTGCTTCCCAAAAAGCGCGCGGCGGCCTCTCGACCAAGGGCACGCTTTTGCTACGCCAGCATATATCGGCGTGGCTCTCAATGTCTCGTTTGGTCGGTCGGGCGGCTCCGGCGCGGGGCCGAACTGGGCTGTTAAGCGGCGCGCTCGAACAATCCTCGGAATTGAATCGCCGGTCCTCACATTTATTAAATTCCGAACGATGTTGTGTTCTTGCTTTCTGCTGGATCGCAAGAATCAACCTCAAGTGTCGTGCGGGTCCTCCGAATTTCAAAGTCATCTTTCAGCCAGTATGTCTCCATTCAGGTTGACCGCATATTTCTGCTTTTCTGCTGCTGGCCACCGAGCAGTTTTTTTTTTTTTGTTTGCGGGGCGACATTTCAGATGCCCATTGAGTCGTTAAGTTCAGCGTCAAGAATATGGCCGCTTCCAGGCCACTCTTTTCACCCTTCTTCACGACCTTGTCTCCAGTACCGGGACGTTGTCATATTTTCATAATTCAATTCCATCCCGGGCATCCTCGCATGAATGTGTTAGGCTAATATCTCCAAGCTACCGCACTGTGCATGACTTGACCTCCTTTCTTTCTTTTTCTCCTTTTCTCTCTTCTAACCCCCCCCCGGCCCCTCCTTCCACAGTGAGAAGAAACAAACATCCTCTGCAGAGGAGACGCTTTCCGGAGCAAAATCCCTCCCAAACATCATTTTAGACTAATAATTGTCATGGGAACAAAAAGAAGGGACGCGCTTTGTTCAACTGACATGCAATGAAGAGCACGGTACTTGGTAGTCACAGCGAAGCATGAGCAAAGTGAAATAAGGATCTACTGAGAGAGAGTGATTGAGCGAGTCTTTAATATCAGATCAGAGCCGTCTTTCTGAATTATGAAGCCATCTTGAAGGAGAAAAACAGCATCAGAACATCAAACATGAACATAAAAATAAGCACTTAAGGTCCCCCGTTCGGAGGCGATTTGGAACGTCAGACGGCAGTCGGGGTGGGTCATGACTGAGTTGCCATGCGTGCCGTCATGGTGAGCAGCCAGCGCAGCCCTTCCCCCCTCCTGTGGCTGGTCCACCTTCTGTTGTGGGTCCACAACCATGGACCTCGGCCGACGGGGGCGGCTCCCGCCTGCCCCGCGCCCTGCAGCTGCTCCAATCAGGCGAGCCGCGTCATCTGCACCAGGAAGACTCTCGATCAGGTGCCGGAGAGCATTTCCGACAACACGCGATACCTCAATCTCCAAGAGAACGCCATTCAGGTGAGCGCCGGCCGGGGTCACGCGGGGTCACGTGGTCTGAGAGGAGGTGGCGCCAACCCACCTCCCTGTTTCTGTTTCCGCACCAGGTGATCAAGTCGGACACCTTTAAACACCTGCGGCACCTGGAGATCCTCCAGCTCTCCAAGAACCACATCCGGCAGATCGAGGTGGGCGCCTTCAACGGGCTGCCCAACCTCAACACGCTGGAGCTTTTTGACAACCATCTCACCGTGGTCCCGTCGCAGGCCTTCGAGTACCTCAGCAAGCTAAGGGAACTCTGGCTGCGGAACAACCCCATCGAGACGCTGCCGGCGTTCGCCTTCCACCGCGTTCCCTCTTTGCGCCGTCTCGATCTCGGGGAGCTCAGGAAACTGGATTTCATCTCGGAGGCCGCCTTCGAGGGCCTGATCAACTTGCGTTTCTTGAATCTGGGCATGTGCGGCCTCAAGGACATCCCCAACCTCACCCCGCTCGTCCGACTGGAGGAGCTGGAGCTGTCGGGCAACCAGCTGGGAATAGTCCGGCCGGGGTCCTTCCAGGGCCTGGTGTCGCTTCGCAAGCTGTGGCTCATGCACTCCAAGGTCTCGGTCATCGAACGCAACGCTTTTGACGACCTCAAGATCTTGGAGGAGCTCAACCTGTCACACAACTCGCTCCATTCGCTGCCTCATGACCTCTTCACGCCTTTGCACCAGCTGGAAAGGGTGCACCTCAATCACAACCCCTGGGTGTGCAACTGCGACGTCCTGTGGCTCAGCTGGTGGCTGAAAGAGACGGTTCCGAGCAACACCACGTGTTGCGCCCGATGCCACGCGCCGCCGGGTCTGAAGGGCAAGTACATCGGCGAACTGGATCAGAGCCACTTCACCTGCTACGCCCCGGTCATCGTGGAGCCGCCCACCGACCTCAACGTCACCGAGGGCATGGCCGCCGAGCTCAAATGCCGCACGGGAACCTCCATGACCTCCGTCAACTGGTTCACCCCAAACGGCACGCTGATGACCCACGGCTCGTACCGCGTCCGCATCTCGGTGCTCCACGACGGAACGCTCAACTTCACCAACGTGACCGTGCAGGACACCGGACAGTACACCTGCATGGTGACCAACTCGGCCGGCAACACCACCGCCACGGCGGTGCTCAACGTGTCCGCCTCGGACCCCAGCAACAGCTACAGCTACTTCACCACCGTCACCGTGGAGACGGTGGAGACGGTGGGGGGAGGGGACGACAAGAACTCGGCCAGACAGTACATCAACGAGACCTTCATCGATTTCCCCAATCCCACCGTCGAAAGGGGGGTCTCGGACGGCTTCACCGTCGCCCCGTCTCTCTCTTCGCTTTCCTCGCTGTCCCCGCGGGCCAACAGGGCCACGGAAAACGCGGCCACCGTCTCCGTCATCGACGTCACCAACATTCCCGGCCTGGACGACGTCATGAAAACCACCAAGATCATCATCGGCTGCTTCGTGGCCATTACTTTTATGGCGGCCGTCATGCTGGTGGTCTTCTATAAGCTCCGCAAGCAACACCAGCTGCACAAGCACCACGGCCCGGCCAGAGCCATCGAAATCGTCAACGTGGAGGACGAGATCGGCGCCGGCGCGGGAAGCGGCATCTCCGGCGGGTCCGCCGTCAACGCCGGCGGCGGCGGCGGAGAAGGAACCCTGCGGATGCACCGTCCCGAAATAGTGAGCCTCCCCAACATCGGCCGTTCCGACACGCTGAACCACTACTACAAGGCCCATCATTTCAACAACAACGTGATGGGTCTGAGTATCGGGCCCGACGGAATGGCATCGGGCGGACTGCACAAGAACCAGCAAGGCCAGGAGATCCCCATCTCCTGTACGCCCGTCCCCATTTCCACGTCCAATTTGCTGGTCTCCTCGGGAAACGGCAGCAACGCCGCCCCGAGTTCCATGTCGCCGCCGCTGCCCATGTCGCTCCCCATGCCCGCGATGGGCCTACACGGCTCGATTAAAGGTTTCATGGGCCAGAACCAGAACCCCCAAATGGAGCCGCTTCTCTTCAAGGGGAGCTCAAAGGAAAACGTCCAGGAGACTCAGATCTAAAAGCGCCGCCGCCGGGACGGAGGGGGGTTGACTGACTTGACGCCAGGAGACGGAGACGGATGGGACACGGCGACGACGACGCACAAACGCAAAGACTCGTCCGCGATGGCGTACTGAGCCGAGGATGACCGCGGCGGGCCCACTTAAGCGTTTGTCGTCACGCTCTCGGCCGAGGAGATCGAGGAACGGACGTTGCTACGATGTAAATCTGTGCCAAAGCGAAGGTTTTTTTTTGCGTTTTCTCCAAACTGCGTTGCCAATGGGCGGACAAAATAAAAACAAAATGCCAACCACGAGAACGACGACAACAACGTCTTTGGGAGTCTTCGGCCCCGAAATCGCCGTTGGCCCGGAGCGACGGAGGACGTGCAGACTCGTACGTCGTGACCCCCGCTGGAGAGGATGGCAGAGCTATGAAATGGGAGAGACCTTTTTTCTTTCTCAAAGAGACGCCACACTTGCTGTGAAGTGACTCGATTGGAGGTGACGATAACGTAGGCAGAAATAGATGGACAGAAAGGTACAGTGCAGTACAAACTACTGTGAAAAATCCACAAAATCTATCAATCTATTTTCATTGAAATGTGTCTCATTGCAAAGTTGGGACGCAGAGATATTTTGGGCTGGGCGCAGGCTCCGCTCCAGTTTGTTTCTATGCGAATGACGAGGAGGGGGCGGAGCCTTGGTTGTGGTCGGCGTTTTCAGTTGGGCGACTTCTCAGAGAACATAAGGGCTCAATTGCAACACTCATTGTGAATCTTTCAATTGGCTTCGAGGCTATTTAGGTTGTCGTCGAGTGAACGCAGATCTCCGTTTGACCAACTTCTGTCTGTTGCTTCGCTAGTACTCATGACAAATTCTTTTGTGTTCCGAGGGTGTATCATGTGTTCTTGTAACGGCCGGCGACTCGGTATTGGAATGCTGTCCACTCTGACGATGTTCCGACTAACGTTTTGCAAACGGGGAGCGTGCTTGCCGTGTGCGGCGAAGGTCGAGGGTTGACTTGGACATGCGAAGGTGAGTATGTGTGTGTGTGTGTGTGTGGGTGTGTGTGTGGGTGTGTGTGTGATTTCAAGCAGACTGCGTAGCCGGGACATTGATACGAGCTCCTCGCTCGCGGTGACTGTCGTCATGCCATAAACGCCGCCGTCACTGACGTTTCCACATCTCTCTGCAGCCGCGTTCCCCGAAGGGATCCCGCAAGGAATGGAAATGTACAGTATCTCAACAATAACGCTGTCCGGTTGTACGACAATTGTAAGAACTGCATTTTTACAGTGCAACTTTCATATCTGTTGGATGCCATTTGCGCTTCTCGCGTTTCAACGATGTACTCCTTTATTTTTGTTAGTTTGATATAATGTGTACAGTTGTCTAGCCATGTATCATGATGTGTGAAATAAACGACTCATATATTGGTCCGAGGCGGCTCAGGGTGGCACCAAGCGTGAGGAATTCTCTGCTCGACCCGCAGCGGCCAGAGACCCGCGTTCGATTCTCCTCGGCGCCCACTTTCCGAGCGGCGCCGTCGGGAGGAGGGCGAGTCAAGTCGAAATTCTCCCCCCGCCAGTCGGAACGCGATGTTATTCAGATTCATATTGAGGAATATCAATCCAGCAGCGTTTGGTGTCGTTTTGTTTTGTTTTTTTCTTTCCTCACTCGCAGGTCCGGATTGATGACAGAACACCGACAACTAGTCAGAGTGCAGGTAACAATATGAGACTGGCGTCTCACTCTGTCGTCTGTTCCGAAAGCGACGTCTCCTTTGCCCGACAAACGGCAGCTCTTCCTCCTCAATGCTTAACAGTGAATCTGCTTTGCCCCGCAGTGTAATCTCACAAGTGGAGCGATCGATCAAGTGAGTTAGGTTGTCTCGCAAGCGGCCGGCCTGGTACTCCGACCGGCTGTTTTTTTTTTTGGTTTTGTTTTTTCGCGCATCCCATTCAAACGGCGATGTATATCGCAGTAAACGTGAGCGTCGCCCCGACGGAGGCGTCGAGCAAACCGAGCTGGACCCACTCGGACTATAAACGAAGGCTAAAGACGTAGCATTTGGCCTCTCCCTTGATGGGATCCGTTTGGCGTCCGCTTGCTCACATTTCAAAGAGCGTACGAGAGAACGTCTTGTGTGTGAGCGTGCGCGATCGTCACGGAGCCCACCTTTTTTGAAATATAATTTAATTTTTTTTGGGGCGGGGGGGGAATGTAATTGCCATTTATTTTTGCCCCCCCCCCCACAATACTACAATATAATTTTTTTTCAAGGCCCTCTTACCGTAATGAAATCAATACGTTAAGCTGCTTGTGCCAATCGTGCGAGCTCTGTGAAATGGAAATCCAACGTTGAGACTGTAACATTGAAGAAAATTGTACCTCACTGTAGACGACGGCTGCAGGTGGACGACTCCTCGACTTGTGGATTACCCCAAGACATCCGTCATGATGTGGACTGTCGTTGACTGCTGGAATAACGAGATCGCCAATGGACGGTCCTTTTCGCAACCTGAAAGGTGAGCCATTGTGTTTCATCATGTGAGAAAGATCCCAGAGAACTGCCCGTTTTTTTTTTTTTGCGCGCGTGTCATAAAATGTCTCGACCTGACGAGCGGCCGCAGAGTTCCGTCCAGTGGCCACGTCGCTCGAGTGAACAGGCGTCACTATTTAGTCAATATGTGACACAAGATTTCACTAGCCTGGAGGGTTTCTCGCCACAAACAATCAGCCTGACCAACAAGGCATGTCACCTACAGAGCGAGGGAGAGCGGGAAAAAAAAAAAGCTGCGTGTTTGTGCAAGCGCACAAATGTCGCTGATGTGTGCGGAAAGGTCACGCTTGTGCTGCGTGATGACCACGCGACTTTGCTCGTGTCACTTAAAAAAAAAAAAAAAAAACACACAGAACTGAATGGCTGTCATCTAAACGAGGAAAATGTGCTTTCTGACGGACGTCCAGTGAAAGAGTTTTTGTTTTTTCCTGCCGTTGCATATATTCCTGTACGTCGAGTAGCACTTGTCCTAGAATGCCTTCATCCTCTGTAGTCTACGTGACGGAATGACAGCGGGAGTGTCCGATGCATAATGTCGTTTGCCGCAAACACGGCGGAGCAGACGCCTCGGAGTAATTACTGCAGGAATGTACAGTGTGTCGCAAAATGTTCCCCGGCGGATACGCGCCCACACACGCAAGAGCACACGCGGGGCTCGGCGCGGATGCCATTATTAGCTGATACTTAATTGATTTTTGATTGACCGTAACGTCTGTTGGGAGGCGATGCCTTTACTCTGGAGACCGTCGATGCTTTTGGCTTTTGTCGGCGCTGCGCACGATGTCAGAACGCTTACGTAGCCCCCGCGTAGCCGAGGAGTGCGCGGGCGGGGTTTTTGGGTGGCTTATCAGAGCTTGGCCTCCGAGGTCATTTGCTCGCCCTCTCGCGAATTCAGTGAGAAATGTCAAAGCACGTTCTTGATGAAATATACACGCCGTGACATCGCCGACCCAAGCTTGAAGATCCCACTCGGCGGAAACGCTCCCCAAAACGGGAGAAAAGCGTGACGACTGTCCACTTTGGCCGCTTCCCATCCCGCCGCTGCCATCTTGCCAATTCTCCTTCTGTCCTAAAGAAGGACGTTTGAGTCCCATGGGCCAGAGGAATATTGACGTGGAGAGATGAGTTATTGATTCCTGGGAGAGGACAAGCGAGACAGTTGACATGCAGCAGACTGCTCCGTGGACCAAACAGCATGAAAGAATCGGGCACCAATGACACAATATAAGATGTGATATGCATCTATCGAGTTTTGCTCAAACACGTGTTCGCCGACGGAGAAAGGTGCTCGCCTCCTCTGCGGCGCAGTGATGCATCTTTACATGATGCAACGCTGCTTTCTTCTAGGGCCTTGTACTGTGTGTGTGGGTGTGTGTGTGTGTGTGTGTGTGTGTGTGTGTGTGTGTGTGTGTGTGTGTGTGTGTGTGTGTGTGTGTGGATATGAAGCAATAATACAAATGTGTTCCATCCTGATCGAATGGGATGATGACATTGATGCGAAATAGCTTTGGCCTTCCCCCGGCTGCAATCTGGCTTCCACAGAGATGCATCTTCTTGTCTCACGGCTGCTTTGACATCGCTGTGTGATCGTTGAACGCATGAGACGGAAACGCACGGACTTATACAAACGCGCGCGGGTTTGTGCTTGATGACATTTCAACTAAGAAAAGAATTATTTGAGCACGCTAATATATTCCCACAGGCTATTATGCAAATTTGGAGGCTGCGCATTGTGCGATGCGACTCCAGCGGGGAGTTCACCATCACGTTAGAAATTAGCATTGTTCACACATCCGCTTATCTTTAGGCCTCTTTCTGCACTCCCCCCTCCCCCGCCCTCCCCGCTCCTTTCTTCCCTGCGTCCCTTCCTTCCCGTTCTCGCTGCGGTGTTGCTGTAGCAACAGAGAAATGTGGGAATACCTCCGTCCTTCAGAGCGCAGGAGACGGAGGGAAGGAAGGAGCACATGAGGATGATGCTTGTGTGAAAATTGGTGACATTAAAACAAAACAAAAAAACATAACCCGACATTCACCCTCCTGCTGATTCTAATGAGGGGGAGGGGGGTCGGCGAGGGGGCGTAGTGTAGGGTCTCCGACGGACGGCAGGAAGCTCTGTGCGTCCATGTCCGAGTAGCGCACTGGGCCCTACGCGTCATTTTTCCGACGATACGTGTGTTCTGGACATCTCCATTTGGAGTGAGGCTGCAGTTTCCATGACAACGCCCAGACGAAAATAGCAGCACACTCTCCTGCCCCCCCCCTCTCTCTCTCTGTCCCTGTCTCACTCTCACTCTCTCTCTCGCCCTCTATCGGTTCACAGTGCACCGATAACGGTTCATCCCAGATCTTCGGGCCTCCTTTTTATCGGGATGAGACATCTCAAGCGCCCCCCCTCGTCTCCATTCATCAGATGGACTCGGGCACACGGAACCCACCACAAGCCCCCTCCGGCTCCCCACCCCACACCTCCATCCCGCTATCATAGCTCCGCCCACATCTTATCTCCATGGCGCACCACGTTCTGTCGACATGTATCAAAACAGCTGTTGCCACGGCGACGCGCTTGAAAATCGCCGCTATAATTTCCAACAAAGCAAAAACACTCGAGCCCACTGGGATGCGAGTGTGTGTGTGTGTGTGTGTGTGTGTGTGTGTGTGTGTCTGTGTCTTTGTGTGTGCGTGTTTATTTGAGTGACAGGCAACTGCTGTGTTGTAAGTGACCCTTTAGTGAACTGCTGGGTATCGAACGCTGCTGTTACATGCTGTTTGTTTGTGTGTGTGTGTGTGTGTGTGTGTGTGTGTGTGTGTTAGTCACATCTGGTGATTGCTTCAAGACCAATCAGTATGTCCATTATTTACAGCAGTGGTGAGCGGTCAGGCACAGCAAATGCCATGGCACGTTTGCATGTTCACGGTGGGGTATCGGGTATCAACTCTTTCTGAACTCGCGGGAATGGGCCGAAAGCTGAAAACGCTTCATGCCGGGTGGGATGGTTGTGGAGTGAGAGAAATATGCCAAAGAGCCTCAGGCCCATCAAAGACCTTTGGAATAAATGAGACCAGAGAGGACAGGCCCGCATCGTCTTGTGGAAAGTCTTTTGCTCTCCTCGCGAGAACTCCGAGACCCGCTGCGCCCCGTTTCTTCGTTTGCTTGACGACGACTCATGCGCACCCTCGCGCTCATCGGATGAGAGTGGGACAAATGGGACGTCGGCCATCTTCCGCTTTGGCCTCGCGAGGCCGCGCTACATAGGAGATCGTATCTTATGAAACAAGATGTCAGCTCGCCGTCTTCGCACTCAATCATCCCGTTGCACCCCGGAAAGCTGCTTTGATACTAACACATACTTAGATATGTGCCAAGTCGGGGAAAACACTCCCGGGCTTTGTAAATCTCAGGCCAAACCCACAGCAGATGACACGGTGCATCATAATGAGTCTTTCTGGCCTTGGGAGCGCGCGCATGGACGCCTCGCGGGAATCGGCGTTTTCCCCACGTCCACCCCTGACGATCAACAATCGGCTTGGAAAAAATGCAGTCTCCTCATTTCCAACCCAAATGATCTGGCAAAGCTCCTAAAAGGCGATCAAAGATTCTGAAAAAATCCAAACTGCTAAAGGGGGACCTTTTAAGAGGATTGAAGGCATATGGAGCTTTTGGCGTCTTATCTGCTATCATGTTCCTGATGCGATGCGACGCGACGGCGGTGCTGATGATACCGTACTCGAGAGCCACGTGAGCGTGATTATGTTTGCACATTGTATGTGACAAAGGATTACTGTGAGCCCCAACTGCAGCGGCGTATCTCTCGCAGACACGACAGCTTTGTGTGTCACCCTCTTTGCCAGTGCGTCTCAACGCCATGGCAAAAAGAGTTGGCTGGGGGGGCCGAAATGACTCATTTTACTTAAGCGTATTTATTGGGGTACTTAACTGCTAATATGTTGAGTCGTGTTTTTTTTTTTTAAATATATATTTTGTTTTGTTTTAAACTAAAGTAATAGATGCAATGGATTTGTATTTATTTATTTGTTTTTTTTCCTTGTTAACCGAGACGGCCATCATTTGTGTCGCGGTGACTCGTCACTGATTCGACTCGGTCCAAATGGTCCAAGATGGCGGCATTCTACTTCTGCCAGCCGTCTGGGGCTGTCTTTGACTCCCCATGGAGTTGCCATGTGGAAATGGTCAGAAAGAGCACCATGGCGCCTTACTGCGACCGTGTGACGTGAGCCGTTATATATGACGCTCGGGGTGGTGCGCCGTGGCCATCGATCGCCTATTGAATGATGTCCTGGGGATCTTCACGGGGGCGGGGGACTTCGGGCAGCCCACCAAGGTACACGAGTTCGCAATTAAAGCCTTTCCGCCTACGGCGGTGGGAATCGACGTCACATATGTGACCGTAGGGCACATTAGTGCGCTGCGAGAGCTCATCAAGTGCGTCATGGGGAATTAGTCGCTTGACTAAATTTAGTGGCCAAGTGGTTTGCGCGTCTTGAATACAAGGAAGCTACATCAACAGTGTTTGATTTTGTTTTTTTGTGGGGGGTTCCCCCCTTCCATGGTGAGTTCAAGTCGGTAAAAGTTGCCAAGCACCCCTGTTGGGGCAAAGTGTGCAGCAAATCCCACTTCAAATGCTCATTCAAGGTGCATTTCTCCGTTGGTGTCCCGCGAAAAGATGGCAAAAAATGACCGGGGTGGGCATGGGGGTACTCACTCGTGTACGTAGTTTCTTCAACCGTAATGCTGCTGAATAGTCTGGAGAACAAGCCGAAGGCCTGGTAGTGACCCCAGCCAGTTAATGAGCGCGACTCACCGCTGCCCAGGCCTCGTAATGAGCCGCAACAAGGAAGGAAACGCTGGCCGCGGGCTCCGCGTGCAATCCACTTGGCGACATGCGTGTTGTGTCCGTGTGCCCGCCAGGCCGCACGCTAACTCCCGAGGAGCCGATTTCTTCTTCCTTCCTTCTCTGACCCGCTCATTGTCATCTCTCTCCTGTCACCTCCCTAAATCTTACGCCGTTACCACCCAAAATAACATCTCTGCTTCGCACCTGTCACCGCCGATTTGTCTCCCGGCCCTCCGTCAACTCGTGCGCTCGTGTTGTCTTTTCATTTGACAAAGTGTAAGGCAGAGAAGGAAAAAAAGAAGCCTCCTCAGCACCACAGAAACGGCAAATCTTATCAGAGGGATTTCAAAAAAGTGACAGAACGTGCGACAGAGAGCCGTCAAGGCTAGCGAAGGCTGATGTCGCAGGAGATCACGACGAGGCACATCTTCCCTCCTCTTGTCATGGTGGCAAGAGAACAATCCGCTTGCTTTGCTCTGCATTTATTTGCGGAATAAATAAGAAAGTGAATAATGTGCATTCATGCAAATGCAGCCCTGGTGGCTCTTGTCTTTCTCTCTCTCTCCCAGTCCATTTTCTATAAAAGCACAGAGACAAAACTGGGTGCTCTCTTTGGAAGAAGACCGTAGCACCAATTTATTAGCAACTTTTGCGCCACAAGACTCATTATTAAAGTTCAATTTTAATCTTGTCTAATATATGAATGTTGCAAATAAAAGCATACTATATATACAGTGTGTGTGTGTGTGTGTGTGTGTGTGTGTGTGTGTGTGTGTGTGTGTGTATAAAATCACACACTGTATATGAATATGTAACCATGTGAACCATACTTTGAATTATCTCGTGAGTGTTGCCCTCTGCCCTCGTGTAATTAATGTAGCACTGTCACTTTTAGCATAGCGGTAGGTAAGATCCCGCGGGAACACGTCGCGCGAGTGAGACTCAGACCCGGAAGTGAAGGGTGGACGAAATGCCCGCGAAAGGTGACGGCCTGGCAACTATGCATGCTACTTTCTCCAACCCGATATACCTCCAATCGTCATTGTCATCCGGGCGATGTTCAGGTAATCAGTAAACTATTTTGCCATGAAGCAGATTGATTGTTTTGACTGACGATTAATTAATTGGGTGATATTTGTCGAGTAGAATATCGTGGTTTGGGAGTTTGAGCGCTGCCGCGTGGTGGGTCGTGTGACAAACGTGTCGCGAAGTGTTCTCGTCTGGACAAGATGGAAATACTCTGTGAAAGGTGCTCCCTCTTTTGTGTTTCGGTTAAGTTTGAAACCGAAGTCAAGTTCAGTCTGATGAATATCATGTCAAACTCAAAAGGAGCTTTTGATCAATTTTAACCAAGCAAATCCCCAAACTGTTCCTTGTCTCAAGTCATGTGACCGTTTCCCCATCATGCTCCAGTTACTGCGGCGGCCCATTTTAACACTGTCCACAGGGGCCGTGAGAAAGTGCTTATAATCTCATCTCATAAGACAAAAAAACCCCCCAAACTGTCCCGTATTTATGGCACGGAGAAATACTGTGCAGTCCCGTAATAATCTTGTAACTTTTCCAGTGTCATAGGTGATTGTGGAAGATTCTCACAAGTCCGAGAGCCAAAACTGTCCAAGATGTTGACCACTGGTGAATGAGGAACGCTTGACAGCACCTTTTCTTCTCTACTTCTTAGTGCCAAAATGAGTAGCACCAGACATGATGTCCTGTCTGATTTCAGCTTCCCCCCGCTGGGACGGTGACTCCAGTGCTGCAATTTCTCGCAGATGTTCAGCGATGCTAATTAATGATAGGATTGTATGAGAGTCACAATTACAACGAAAAGCTTTTAATTAAACGGAGTCCCATGCGCCGCCTATTAAGGAACCTGACCACCTTCCTGCGTTGAATATTTAACACCCTCTGCTGGAAGCACAATAGTTACAGGAAGCACAAGGTTAAACTTGCAACTATTTCAAATTGCTCTGCGCTCTGCACTCCCCCCCCAAAAAAAAAAGTTAATTAAAGTGTTTAAGCGTTTAATCAAGCTTTTTTATTCCATACAGCACTTGCGGTTGCGAGATGGATTCCAGGCCAGGTTGAATGCTCTCCTTCACACATACAAAATGAGCGCTTGTTATCTTCCGAGCAGCTCTGAAAATATCTGGAATGCCCGAAACAAAGAATCGCAGCCATTTATGAGCCTCCAACCCACACGGGCGCTTCCCCTCTTTCTCTGCCGGTCGTGTCGTGTAATGTGATTACTAGCGGAACCGACTCTGCTAATGCGCTTGTGCGGAGGAACCACAACATGACCCTCCCACACTGGACCACCAAAGATGTCGTGGATACCCTGAAGGTGGCGGTGGAGGGCGGAAGGGGAGCAGGATTAGAGGTCGTGCACACTTTTTGCGCTTTTGATCCACAGGTGTGAGCAGCGTTTTTGCAGTGGCAGGAGGCCTCCTTGCGGTGGCGCTGTTGCTCAGTCCGCTTTTGTGCTGTGCCCAGGCCAAGGGCAAAATATTCAATAGTACCTGCCAAAATGTCATCATTTTTTTTCTTTTGTAGGAACAAGCTAAAACCAATGCATCAGTCGCACTGAAGCGATTTATCATTGTCCACGTCAGAGGTTCGTACTTCGACAGCACTTTCATGATGATTGAGTGGACACCAAAGGGGCTTTATCGCGACACTGACATCGTTCTAGTTTTGTGATCATAATTGCTTTTCAGAATAGAAACCTCTACTTTGCTGTACGGCTGAGAATCATTCTCAGTGGAGAAAAAGAAAGAATAATCGAAATAACTAGAAGCGGAAGAAATGTTTGCAAATGAAGGACAACCAAAATCCAGCACACACAAATAACGCTGATTTATTTGCTTGTTTTCTTCATGACAAACTCTGACATTCGCCGTCCAGAGTTGGCGCCGCACACTTCGGTTCCTAAACCCGGTTTGGATCCACGGCAACTGTCAGGAAGCAGAACAGTTGATTGGCATTTGTCCAAAAGTGAAATCCGGGAACTTGATCGGGTCATTAGAAAGCACAGAGGAGAGTGATTGTTCAGCCCTGTTTGTAGCGTGCGAGCTTCTTCAAATGTCCTCACATTTGCCATCAAAGGCCCAAAGCGTCTCGGTGGCCGCCCCTTTTGCGTGTTCTGTACTTGCAGCAACGTTAGCCATAGCGTTGGCAGCGAACAAGATGACGCGAGCCGCTATCGATATGCTCGGAAATCATGACGGGGGTGTAACTGCAGCCGGCATGTAACCGGATTAAACCCCACTTCGTGGCTTCACCTCAGCGTGTTTGAGTTTAGCACCCGCATACCATACGCGTGCTCAGTGTCAGCATGTTTTGGTGTTTTGTTGCGCCATCTCTAATAGCATCAAGAGGGAGGACAGTGAGTTCTGGTGGCCAACCTCGAATGTTCAGCTTGCACTCCACCTCATCTCGGCCCAGCTCGTTGATGGCCACGCAGGTGTATTTGCCTCCGTCAAAGGTGCTCGGCTTGCGAATGTTGAGGGTCACCACGCCTTGGTTGTTCTGCATCAGGTACTTGGGGTCGTCGCCGATGATCATCTTGTTCTTCATCCACACGATCTTGGGCTGAGGAGCGAAACAATGGTACGAAAGGTCTCAGAACAGACGGGGCAGCCGCTGCCCTTTTCTACGAAAGGTCACCCTCCCGACGGGGGCTTCGCTTTGCAAGTGAGGAATGGCGGCGATGCCGAGGTGCGACTCGGACTTGGCGCGGCCTGATCCGAAACCGTGCTCCGTACCTTCGGGAAGCCTCTGACGGCACAACTGATGGCAGTGCTGTACCCGGCCACCACAGTTCTGTCCACGAGGGGCTGGGTGAACTTGGGGACGCAGGACATGTCCTTCTCCTGGTAGGGGGCTTGCTTCAGCTGCAGACCTTTTGAGGGCAAGAGCGGCAACGCGGGGGCAGGTCAGATGGGATGCAAATGTGATCGTATCCTTTTATTGGGCGGCAGAGGCGACAAATCTTTGTGTGTAAATGTGTACTTGGCACCTGTCTTGGCGATGGTGGCTGTGTTCTTGCTGTTACGAGGCTCCTCGCTCAGGCCGCACATATTCTCGCTGTAGACGCGGAACATGTACTCGTTGCCCATTATGAGGTCGGACACGGTGCAGTGCGTCCGTTTGTTGTGTTCATAGACGGTGAACCATTCCTAGAGAAAGGCAACACTTCCCTCACATATGATGTGATGCCGTGGTCCGCCTCGGTCACCTCCCCTTGTCGGACACGGTGCAGTGCGTCCGTTTGTTGTGTTCGTAAACGGTGAACCATTCCTAGAGAAAGGCAACATTTCCCTCACATATGATGTGATCTGGTGATGCCGTGGTCCGCCTCGGTCACCTCCCCTCCTCCTCCTCCGTCTTTGCCTCACCTTCGTCTTCATGTCCGCCTTCTGGATGGTGTATCCGCTGACCTCGCAGTTGCCGTCGTCGGTGGGGGGAGCCCACTCCAGCGCGGCGTTGAAGCCCCACACATCGGTCACCCTCACGTTTAGAGGCGGCGCGGGCTTTTCTGATTGGGTTTCACGGCAACGGTCATGCCATCGGCGCGTGTACGGGTGTGACCCCTGGTCGCGGACCGAGGGGACTTACCGACAACTCTGAGTTGGAAACTGCTCCTGTCCTCCATGTTCTCAATCTTTAGAACCAGCTCATACGTTCCAGAGTGCTCTCGTTCTGCCGAGCGGATGAAGAAGATGCTGTCCACGTTGGTGGTACGGACATTGATCACTTTTGGGTCAATGGGTACGCCGTCCTTGAACCAGCTTGCGACAGGACGGGGTTTACCCTATCAGACAAGAAGTGAGGATGTTGGATGTCGGAATTTATAATCGGAGAGGTTGTTTTTTTTTTTTTTTCCCCAGACCTGGAAGGGGATGGTCAGGTTGATCTTTTCTCCCACTTTCCTGATGTACTTTGTCCTAAGGTGCCGAGGGAGGCGGATCTTCGGATGCTCTAATGAAGGTAAAGCCATTTAAAAGTTGAAACCGTTCTTGGATTATCGAGTAAGCACCGCAACATTACACTGCAAATCGAAATGGATCCGACCAGCTCTATCCAAAGAAAAGAGACTTTGCAATGATTTGTTTTTAGAGCCCGGTGGTCTGGGGTCCAACCGATGGATAAGTCAACTCGCCGACTCTGCTGAAAAGAACGACCAATTCTGTCATCGACTTGGGCTGGACTTTGAATCTCATCATCATCTTTAGTCATTCGACCCTTGCGGAGTACTAGTAAGTGTGCCGTGTTGTGTTCATAAGTATCTTCCCATCTTGAAGGGACCAAATGATGACTCACCCATGATCTCACGGATGGTGACGGGCTGCGACATGACGGCGGGAGGACTGCGCCCGGCGATGTTCACGGCCACCACCCTGAAGTTGATCTTCTCCCCCACAGGTAGGCCACGCACCACAAAGGTCTGCCTTTCACACAGGTCTGTGTTGGCTGTCACCCACTCAGTATCTGGAAAGGGGGGGGGGCAATAACAAAGCAACTGAATTTGAATCGTAATCTCTTCCTTTTGAAATCATCAGTCGAGGTTTTCAGGTGGAATTTGCGGATGACCTCAAAGGCGCCATCACCTTCGACGTGAGCTGAGTTTAGAGCGTCATAGTGGTGCAGAGCCTAGATCGAAGCCCACAGCCCAATATGCCAAAGTTTTTGTGAGTCGTGCATAATCTTAGACAGCACCTCCGTCTTTGCAGTATTCAATGACGTAGCCATCCAGGCCCCCGGCTCCGACTCTCTCCGGGGCCAGCCACTTCAGGGTGCACGTGCTGTCCGTCACATCGTTCACCGTCAGGCGCATCGGCGCACTCGTCGGAGCTGAGCGGCACAGAAAAAAAGAGCCATTGAATGGCTGAGGACGGGGTGCCCTTTGAGGAAAGGAAGCGGGTCGGCCGTGACGCCTACCGATAGGCATGAAGGGCTTGGAGGTGAGACTTGGCGGGGACAGGCCGATGCTGTTGACGGCAAACACGCGCATCTCGTACACGACGCCTTCGATCATCCTCTTGGCCTCGTACGTGGTTGGTTCGTGCACGTCGAAGTTCAGCTTTGTCCATCTGGATGAACCTTTCTTCTTTCTCTCCATCAGATAGCCTGGTGGATTCACAGCGTGAAGAGACGAGAGACGCAGCGTGCCTGCGTGTTTCGCGTCCTTTACCCTTGATTTGTGCGCCGCCGTCGAATTTGGGAGGCTCCCAGGTGATGGTGGCGCAGTCCTCTCCCACTGATGTGCACTTGACGTGCTCAGGAGCATCGGGCACATCTGAAATTCAAGCACCAACAAGGTTTGCTACTCGACACCTGCCGTTTGGACGTTGGTAACTTGATTGCAAAAAAAAAAATGTGTGTGGCATTTTTGGCAATGTGCAAAATATTTCCCAAGATATCTTCAATGACCTAAAAAAACAATTCCAGTTGGTTGGTTTTGGTCAAAAGGGCGTGGATAACATTTGAGGCAACTTTTTGGTCTTTTGGTTCCCAAGACATCCCGAATCAGCAGACTCGTGGAACGGCTCTTAAATTTGGGAATTTTTCAAGGGAACTGGTGGAATTTTAACAACATGAGAAAAATTGGGAATTTGGGAAAGTGTGTCAAATTGCTGGCAGAGATTGTGTCAGTCTTTCGACATTTGAACGGGTTGAGAAATGTGCCTTCCAACAGCAACAAAAGTTGTTTTGATAGTAAGTGGGGTGAATGCTTTTTGCCACCAACAGCCAATATCGCTTTGACGTACCGACCACCTTCACATGCAGCACGGCCTTGTCTTCTCCGGCGGGGTTGGTCACAACAATGGTGTAGTTGCCCTCATCTTCCCGCTCCGCACCCTCGATGATGAAGCAGCTCAAGTCCTTCCTGCTCTCCACCCTCACGCGCCCCGACGTCTCTGTGATTGGCTAACGCACAGCAAATTGCCGATGTTGATTCCATTGACTTGTAAGTACGAGGGCACGGTTGCCTTTGTTTTCATCGACTGGACCGCGGGCTCGACATTAACATCCCACGTGCACGGGCGTCCAGTCGAACGGCCTCCGT